TTTTCCAGTATACTGGGAAGACTGTTTATGTTGTGGATTAGGACTTGGCTACCTTATTCTTAAAGGTTTATTTTGTTTTAGATCTGTGCCAGGGTTCTTGGCTTAACAAAGAAAGATATAGTGAAGACAACACACTGTCTTAATTTCTGCCACACTTTTAGTCTTTGGTACATTGCTTTATTTGAGAGGAATCTATGTCCTGAGGCAGCCTGTGAGGGCACGAGGACTTCTTTTCTCTTCACCTTTCCAATGTCTGACGAAGCATCCTACACTTGATAGGAATTGATTAAGCATTTGTCAGTGACCTGTGAACTCTGCTTTTGTTTTAGGAAGCAGTACAGATATTGATTACGCACTCGGCTGATGTCAATGCAAGGGACAAGAACTGGCAGACCCCCCTCCACGTGGCAGCAGCCAATAAGGCTGTCAAGTGTGCAGAAGTGATCATCCCCTTGCTGAGCAGCGTCAACGTCTCCGACCGAGGAGGACGGACAGCCTTGCACCACGCGGCGCTGAATGGCCATGTGGAGGTGGGTGTCCTCCTCACTTAGACTGCCCTCTCCAGAAGTCTTCAGACTGAGCCTTTCAGAGAATGTGGTAACACTTGTAGATCAAACTTTGGGTAACTGTCTCCTTTTATAAATTCACGGACATAGTGAATTAAAAAAGCCTTTACTTCAGTCTTCCCTTCTGATGCATATATCACGAGATCTGCTGTGTCAACATCTGCTTACTTTTTGGACTTTATCCCTCCAGCCTGTCTTTAGATTTGATGTCACTTTGGCTCAGGTGACCTGTGGGCGATGAGTATCCCTCACCATTGCAGAACGCAGACTTGATTGTTCTCCTGGTTGTCTTTCAGATGGTCAATTTACTCTTGACCAAAGGAGCAAACATCAATGCATTTGACAAGAAGGACCGGCGTGCTCTGCACTGGGCAGCATATATGGGTAAGGAGTCCTCGAATGGCTAGAGAAATGAAGATAAATCTACTTAATTAGCTAAAGACCTCTCATTGACCTTGTAGGCTTTGTCTTGGGCAAGTCTGGACTTTTTTGGAAAGCTTTGATTGCACTTGATTTAAGATTCTATCCATTTTATTTGTCATGCATTGAACATTCTACAGGCAGTTGATTTTTCAGAGATTTATTTCCCTTCCAAGGAAGAGGGATGACTCACAGCCTGGCCCACAGTGGATGTGGTTCAACCTGGACTGGAAAGCTACACAAACTACTTATTGCTTGAACCTGTCATGGCAGGAAAGTAAGGGTGTTGGGGAAAAAAAGAAAGGATTGGCTATCAAAGCAAGGTCATAAATTCCATTTGTCTTTTTATTTATTCATCTCTTCGAAAGAGGTAAAAGAAAGAAAAGATAAAACTGTTTTGTAGATTGTGAACATATTCAGCCTAAATTGTCTTACTCCTCCAGTGCCAACAAAGCAGGGGTATCAGTGCTGACGTCTGTCCATGCTGGTGGGCAGATCAGAGTAGTTACATTTCTATCCTTTTCCTTTTCATTATTGTTGGTACAAAACCCACCGACCAGTGGTAGCCTTGCAGAGTTTCTTCTCAGTGTAGACTTATGGGAAAGGACCAAAGTGTTTCTAATTAGAGATCTTCTACAATTTGAAAAGAAAGCAGGATTATATCAGCACAGAATAGTAAGCCCCAACCCAGTCCAAGGATATTGGTTAGATAAATAATGAAAATCTGCACCATGGACACTATTCAGCAGATTGATAATGATGTCCATTGCCCTTTCTTAACATAGAAAGATGGCTGAAATGTGCTAAGTGAAGAAGGTTATACAACAGTGTAAATGGTAATTGGAAGTGATTTCTGAAGCCTGAATGCCCTTTTCTTATTAGAGAAAAACTCCAATAATTTTAATTGTGAGAAAAAGAGATAGTAGGTTGAAATAAGGGATGAAATAAATAATGTAATTATAGATAGGTCTGAAAGAATTCTTTTGTTATGTACCGTCAAGTCAGAACTGGCTCGCACCTGACCCTCCAGTAGATTTTCAAAGGTTAGTTATACATCACATGGGAGGAGACTGCTCATCTTTCTCTCTTGGAGCAGCTATTAGTGTCGAGCCTCTTGACTTTGGGTTGGCTGCACAACTCCTTACCACTGAGCCACCAAAGCTCCCCTAAATGAATCCTTAGGCTTAATAAACTAGAATTGAAAATTTTGTAAGTGTGATCAGCTTTTCAGGTGACTTAGCTCATCACATTGGCTCAACAGATTAGATGTCGGTATGGTAATGTAGGACTGAAGCCAGTGAATGTTTACCAGAGGAGACGTGTTTGGACAGAGGGTACACGAAACTCGTGGGAGGTGACTTTTTAAAAACTTAGGGTTTGCACTTTGTTCTCTTGCTGATAGCTAGCAAAACATTGGGCAGGGTTGTGTTAAGGCCATTATTTTATGTATTATCAGGATACAAATCATGGGGGGGGGAATCTAAAGGTGTTGATGGTTGTTGTTGTTAGGTGCCATTGAATTGAATATGACTCATAGCAACCCTATGAACAAAAAAGGTGATGAACAGCTTTAGATAGCATCACTAGTAGTTAAAAATACTCTCTGTGTGTGTGTATACACACACACACACATACATATTCTCTCTTTCTCTCATAGGCACATACATACATTTTTTTAAAACATACACACACATTTGAAAATTCACTTCTCTTGCACATGCAAGCAAGATTCTACTGAAGATTATCCAAAAACGACTGGAACAGCACATCAGCAGAGAACTGCCAGAAGTCCAGGCTGGGCTTAGAAGGGGTCGTGGTACTAGGGATATTATAGCTGATGTTAGATGGATCTTAGCTGAAAGCAGGGAATACCAGAAGAATGT